TTCACCAAGAACAATGATCCCTAAGTGTTGGCTTTTTCTTTCTTTTTCCTTCCAGCTTCCCTTTCTCTGTACTGCAACCTTCTCAGTTCTTCCAAATTCATGATCCAACCAGTGCCTCTGTATGCTGCTGAAGGGGAAAGTGTGCTTCTCCAAGTTCATAATCTTCCAGAAGATCTGCAAGGCTTTTCCTGGTACAAATCAAAGTATAGGAAACCGATCCTGAATACAGGCGAGCCATAAATGCCATCGTCTGGGGTCCTGCACACAGAAGATATGATATGTTGTACAACAATGGATCCTTATTGCTCCCAGACCTCACTGAGGAAGATGCAGGAATCTATACATTCGCAGTTCTAAACAAAGATTCCACAATTGAAAAAGCATATGTGAAATTTTATGTAAAGAGTAAGTGATTCTCTATGGTCTCCAACTGGTGTGTGTGGCTTATCCTATTTTTATACACTGGACTATCAGGATTGGGATGTCTGTGCTCTCTCCCTCACCAGGTTGTATCCATCCACTGGGGTTTGTGTCCTTTCTGCAGGACACACATGGGATAGAAAAACTGTAATAGTTCAGAACTCTTTACCTGTCTCAACCTCTAAAGAGCAGGACCTGTGTTGGGTAAACTCAGCCCTGGGGTGTCAACTGCAGCCCAGATTCATTGAGCTCTCACCATTCACATGTCCCCAAAAGACTCTGTGGGAGTCAGGCAGTCCCTGGCTGATTAAACTGTGGGGTCCGTACAGAGACCACCAGGAAGCCCCGACTCCAAAACTTTGCCTCTGACTGAACATAAGGTGATATTGGGGAGCTTTTTGTAAAGATTTGTTTAGATTTCTTGTTAGAGCTGACAGGGAACAAGGCTTTATGACTGTCCAAGTCATGGGACTGATGATCACATAGAGAGCAGAGTCAGCTGTGTACTGCCCTGACAGCTGCAGTTAGTTAGGTCACCTGTGCATCTCTTTCTCCTGAGTCTCAGTGGACAGGTGTCTAGGACACTAGCTTATTGTTGTGATGGGTTTGTGAGACTTCACAGGAAGGTGAAGGCACCAAGGGAACAAACAGAGAAGGCAGCTTCTCCAGATTCTTCCTTCACCTGAGGGGCCCGGCCTAGGAAATTCTCTTCCGCAGGTAAATAGTAACAGATGCTGCTGCTGAGAGCAGAACCTGCACCCCAAGGTCAGATCATTGCTCATAACTAAACTTAACTCATGGTTACAGCAATGATCATGCATGGAATATCCTATTCCAGGGAAACTGGGGCACAGAAAACAGTTCCTGAATCAGAGTCACACAGGCCCTGTGTGGCAGATCCAAAGCACGAGAATGTCCATTGTCAGCTCCAAATTCTCCCCCTGGAAGCTTTATATAGTATGTACTAAAGAGGGCATGGTTGAACGCTCTGGACTCCTTTAATTTGATAGCCTCCTCTGTTTCTTCACAGAGCCTGTGGCACAGCCCTTTGTGCAAATCACTGACACCACAATCGCAGGACATAGATCTGCGATCTTCACCTGCATTTCACCCGACACCGATGTCTCCATCCGTTGGATCTTCAATAACCAGAGTCTGAATCACTTAGAGAGGATGACTCTGTCCCCGACAAAGTGTGGACTCATGATAGCTCCTGTCAGGAGAGAGGATGCTGGAGAGTATCAGTGTGAGGTCTCCAACCAAGTCAGTTTGAAGACCAGTCACCCAGTGTCCTGGCCATGAAGAGTGAGTAACCTTTTCTCTCATACCACAATATATTGCTGGCATTTTTTAAATCATTTTTTTCATTTGAATTAGAAACAAGATTGCTTTACACGACAATCCCAGTTCCCTTATCCCTCCCTTCCTCCCCTGCCAACCCCCAACTACCACATGTCCTTTCTTCTAATCTATACCTGACTCAACCTTTCTGCTCCCTCATGACCTCTGCATCCTTCATCTTCTTCCCTTCTCAATCTTGTAGCTCCCTCCCCCCTCTTCCTGTGCTCCCAATTTGCTCAGGGGATCTTGACCCTTTCCCCTTCTCCAGGGGACAAAGTTTGTCTCTTTTAGGGTCCTCCTTGTTTTCTAGCTTCTCTGGCAGTGTGGATTGTAGGCTGGTAATCCCTTACTCTATGTCTAAAATCCACATATGAGTGAGTACATATCATATTTGTCTTTGTGTGATTGGGTTACCTTGCTCAGAATGGTTTCTTCGAGTTCCATCCATTTTCCTGAAAATATCAAGATTCCATTGTTTTCTTCCCCCTGCTGAGTAGTACTCCACTGTGTAAATGTACCACATTTTTTCCATCCATTCTTCAGTTGAGGGGCATCTAGGCTGCTTCCAGTTTCTGGCTATTACAAATAGTGCTGCTATGAACATCATTGAACAGATGTCCTTGTTGTATGAATGTAATTCTTTTGGGTATATGCTTAGGAGTGGAATTGCTGGATCTTGTGGTAGACTCATTCCCATTTTCTTGAGGAGTTGCATACTGATTTCCAAAGTGGCTGTACAAGTTGGCATTCCTACAAGCAATGGAGAAGTATTCCTCTTTCTCCACATCCTCTCCTGCTGGCATTTTTTAATCAATGGGGTACAAAATAGAGAAAAGTTATGTGGCGAAAATGGTCAGTTACTACTCAGGTGCAGCCAACATGGTGACTCATGCCTATAATCCTGGGATACATGTGCGTACAAAGAAAGACCAGGATTTAAAATGGGGTTATTGAAAAAGAAAATAAAGACATCAATACGGTAAACACTCAATCTCCATGATCCTCCATAAGACCTGCTTAAGTGTTTCTGTGTTCCATGTTTTCATGGTGTCCTTGACCGCTCTGGTTCCTACAATCCATCCTTCCCTCATTCTGTGGGATTCCCCTGGGGCTTCCAAGTGTTTGGCTATATGTCTCTGCATCTGTTCCCATATGTGAATGGATGATGTCTCTCTGAGGACTATTAGGCTTACAATTATCTACTAGTATAACACAGTAGTATTAATAATTATTTCATTTAAAGTTTTTCCAGTTATATTTGGGTCTATCCTGAATTTCTGGGCTGTCCAGCCTCTGGCCCCTGACCATCTAGGAAGTGTCAGATCGGGGCTCCCTCTCATGGCATGGGCGTTAATTTGGACCAATTATTTGTTGGTTACTACTACAAGTTCTGTTCTATCCTCATCCCAGTACATATTTCAGGAAGCACAGATTGTAGGTCAAATATTTTGTGGGTGGATTGATGTCCCAGCCCTGTTGCTAGAAGTCTTCTGTGGTTGTACATGATTGCTGGTTCAGGCTACCAATCCCTCACTGCTAGGCATCTTTACGAGGATCACTCTTATAGCTTCTAGGAAGTTCCCACTCTACTAGGTTTCCACACTGTTCTCTCAAATGCCCCACTATTTCAGTCATTACTCCAAGTACTCTTCCCTCCTGTCTGTTTCCTCCTGTTCACATCCATACATGTTCCCATCTGTTCACAAAATCTTTTCTATTTCTTTTCTGGAAGGAGATACATTGATAACACTTGAGTCATCTTTGTTACTTAGCTTCTCTATGCATGGACAAAACAAGACATCTAGTTTTTTGTATATAATATTAGTTTACAGTAGTAGAGCTCAGATGGTTGTGTTTGTTCACTAGTTCAAGAAACTTATGTAGAATCTTTAGGATTTTCAAAAAATAAGTTCATGTCATCTGCAGATCTATTTTACTGCCAATTAATTGACCAACTTTTATTTATTTGTGCTGCTTAATTTTTCTGTCTAGGACATCTAAGAGAATACTGAAGAAAAGTGGTCACTGCAGCATCCTTGAATAGATCTTCATCCTAGAGAGAAAGCTATCATTGTCCCTGCTGAGCACTCAGTTGGAAGTGTTTTTTTTTATGTTTGTCCCTAATGCACTAGCTTCTCTTCTACCCCAAGTTTGTCTGTGCTCATCATTAAAAATTGTTCACTTTTGTCAAACTTCATTATTGATTCAGCTTTATGAGTTACTCATGGAGTCAGTTTTGTGTTTCTTCATGCTTCCATCTCTGTAGGTTCTGGGCTTCTAGACATTTGTCTGTTTTATGTAGGTCACTCTACAATTACCCCCATTACTATTGAGTAGTCATGGAAATTTCAGTAATATGAAAAATGGACAGCAAGGTTTCAAATTTCACTTTTAGTATAACTCATGTTACTCTACTAAAAACAAAGTTAATCTGTTAAATGTTGTCAATGCCATTAATCATTTTGGAGAATGAACTTTTGCCATTTATTGAAAATAGATTCTTTTCTCATGCCATTGCCAAATGCTTTTTATGAGGCTACAGTTACCCTGCTATCCAAACCACAAAGAAACACAATTAAGAAAAAGAATTACAGACTAATATTCCTTGTGAACATTAATGCAAAAATACTTAATGAATTACTGGCAAACCTAATCCCAAAACACAGAAAACAACATTCACCATGATCAGGGAGGCTTCATCCCAGAGATGTAGAGATGGTTCAACCTATGAAAATCTGTCAATGTAATCCACCATATAAATAAACTGAAAGAAAAAACACATGATCATTTCATTAGATGTTGCAAAAGCCTTTGAGAGAATCCAACACCCCTTCATGATAAGCATCTTGGAGAGATCAGGGGTAACAGAAACATACCTAAACATAATAAAGGCAATATACAGCAAGCCAACAGCCAGCATCAAACTAAATGGAGAGAAACTCAATGTGATTTTTCTAAAATCAGGAACAAGACAAAGATGTCCTCTCTCTCCATATCTCTTCAATATTGTAGTTGAAATTCTAGCTAGAGCAATAAGACCACAAATGGAGATCAAGAGGATACAAATTGGTAAGGAAGAAGTCAAACTTCCACTATTTGCTGATGATATGACAGTTTATATAAGGGACCCAAAAATTCTACCAGGGAACTCCTACAGCTGATTAACACCTTCAGTATTGTGGCAGGATACAGGATTAACTTAAAAAATAAGTAGCCCTTCTATAAGCAAATGAAAATTGTGCTGAGAAAGAAATTAGTGAAACATCACCCTTTACAATAGCCAAAGAAACATAAAATATCTTGGGCTATCTCTAATCAAACAACTAAAAGTCTTGCATTGACAAGAACTTTAAATCTTTGAAAAGAGAAATTGAAAATGTCAGAAAATGAAAAAAAAACCTCCCTTGTTCTTATATAGGTAGGATTAAAATAATACAAATTCAAACTTACCAAAAGCAATCTACAGATTCAGTGCAATCCTCATCAAAATCCCAACACAATTCTTCATAGACCTTGAAATAACAAACTGAATTTTATATGGGGAAAATAAAAAACCCAGGACAGCCAAAACAGCCCTGTACAAGAAAGGAACTTCTGGAGGCATCACCATCCCTGACTTCAAGCTCTACATTAGAGTTATCATCATAAAACAACTTGGTATTGGCATAAAAATAGATATGTGGATCAATGGAATCAAATTGAATACCCTGATATTAATCCACACACCTATGAATGAACACCTGATTTTTGACAAAGAAGCCAAAATTATACAATGGGAAAAAAGAAAGCACCTTTAACAAATGGTGCTGGCATACTGGATAATTTATATGTAGAAGAATTCAAATAGATCCATATATATCCCCATGCACAAAATGTAAGTTCAAGTGGATCAAAGACTCAACGTAAATCCAGTGACAGTGCATCTGATAGAAGAGAAAGTGGGAAGTAGCTTTGAATTGATGGGCACAGGATACCACTTCCTAAATATAATGCCAGTAGCACAGACAATAAAAGCAGCAATCAATAAATGGGACCTCCTGAAACTGAAAAGCTTCTGTAAGGCAATGGACATAGTCAACAAGACAATTTGGTAGCCTATAGAGTGGGAGATCTTCACCAACCTCATATCTGACAGAGGGCTGATCTCCACAATATATAGAGAACTCAAGAAAATAGGCATCAAAGTACCAAAAAATCCAATTAAAATGTGTACAGATATAAACAGAAAATTCTCAATAGAGGAGGCCCAAATGCCCAGAAGACATTTAAGGAATTGCTCAACATCCTTAGCCATCAGGGAAATGCAAATCATAATGACTTTGAGATACCTGATGATACCTGTCAGAATGGCTAATATCAAAAACACAAATGACAGCTCATGCTGGAGAAAATGTAGAGTAAGGGGGCCCTTCCATTCCTGGTGTGAGTACAAACTTGTCCAGTCACTTGGGAAATCAGTATGGTGGTTTCTCAGAAAATAGGGCATCAATCCACCTCAAAGCCCAGCAATTCCATTCTTGGGAATATACCTAGAGTATCCACAATCATAACACATGGAAATTTTATCAACCATGTTCATGGAAGCATTATTTGTAATAGTCAGAACCTGGGAACAGCCTATCTGCCCCAATCCTAAGAATGGATGAAGAAAATGTGGGACATTTACACAATGGAATACTACTCAGCAGTAAAAACATAAACACATCTTGTAATTTGCAGACTAATGGATGAAACTAGAAAAATCCATTCTGAGTGAGGTAACCCAGACACAGAAAGACAAACATGGCAAGTACTCACTCATAAGTGGCTGTTAGAAATAAAGCAAAGGATAACCAGGCTCCAAGCCACAATCCCAGAGAATCTAGGTAAAAAAGAGTTTCTTAAGAGGGACAGTCATGGAGGGCC